ATAAAATCTATAGTAAAGGTTGCTGCTTTACAAGCCTTTTATCACAGACTTAGGCAAGGCTCTAAAAACCAGATTAACAATGGCTAAAAAAAAAGAGGGAATAAGTACAGAAATTGTTAAGTCCTCTGTCAAAGAACAACAAACTTTTATGAAAACTTAGACTCGGTTTCTAACAGAAGAATAAAACTAAAACAGCATTTGCTTCCCTAACAACTGAGCACTAGCACTAGCACCCTGCAACCCTCTGGCATATATTAGCCATGCTTAAAGTCCTTGCTTTGTCCTAAAAATGAAGCGTTGTTAGAGCAAATAGACTGAGAATGCTACTCTCCTTTACCCCTTTAGCTTTGATTCCTCTTCACTTTTCTCCTCTATCCATTGCTCAGCTTATGTTTTCCTTCCTGCTTCCTTCTCTCTCCTTCTCCTTGCCTTTCTGTTTTCTACTTCCTCCTTTTTTATTTATAGTCTGCAAGCTTGATCTCTTTTCTGTCTTGCTTTCCCTCCCCCATCCCCATGCCATGGTTATTAAGAGCATGGGCTCTGGAAACAGATTAAAGCTTCCAATTCTGGCCTGCTGAATCTACTTAATCTCACCATGATGTCATTATCCCGTATCAGTCAAGGTTCATCAGGGGAAACAGAACCACTACTTCGAGAGCCACTGGGAAGTTCAGGTCTGAGAGGGTGTTGGAAGACCGGAGGGGCCAGCATCCATTAGTCCACCTGGGCAGGCAGGCACATGCATCGCTGCAGATAGGGAGATGGGAGAGAGTTTATCTATAAGGTGAGAAATCAAATATTTTATGCAACAGAGGAATGACTATGGAGAGCTGTTGCCTCGGGAAGTTTATGTTCAAGCATCAGGCAGGTGATACTGTGTTTCATCAGTGTGGAGGGGAGTCAGAGATCCCCCAAACTAGCATGATGTGGAATAGAGGAAAGCAGACACCTAGACCTTGCTGGGACCTCTTTTTGCCCATTACTGAATCTAAGATAATCTTCAGAGAGTAATGGCTGCTGCTTCATTTGTGACTTCCAAATCTCATACAGATGCCGCATGTGGTCAAATCAAACCTAGATCATACATGAAAGAGGATTCTGAGGAAGCTAGGTCTAGTTCAACTAGTTGAGGGAGTGAAAAACTCACCATATTAGTCATTTTCAAATTGTGGTTATTAGGAGTTCATAAGTCATGCAAATGTTGTGAAAAGTAAATGAGATTTAGTACATGCAAAGAAAGCACTGATTACAGTGTTAGACACATAATAAGTACCCCCCAAAATTTCCATTGTCATTTTTAATCCATTTCTTCTCATGCATACTCTTTTACCTAAGTACTATTTTTTTTCCCTAAGCAACGTTTAACCATATTTCTCATGATCATTGTTACTGTATCACCAACATTCTGGAAAGTTAGTAAATGACTGTGGAATGTGTAACGAACTGGTGTTATTTATTATTTTCTTTTTTTTATTTAAAGAAAAAAATCACAAAATAACAATGAAGACAAACACAAAACAATACAAAAACAATAAAAACAGGGCTGGGGATTTAGCTCAGTGGCAAAGCGCCTGCCTGGCAAGCGCAAGGTCATGAGTTCGGTTCCCGGTACCGGAGAAAAACAAACAAACAAACAAAAAAACAATAAAAACAATACAGGATTTCAAAACAAGATGATAGGAATTCACAATGGTTGTTATACTACATGAAACTGCTCAGATTACAAGATGTAAGAATGCAAGATTGATCAAACACTTAAAGACAATAACAAGTAATAAAAAAACATTAGAAATGATACAGAGCTTCATCAAACAAGATGGTAGGAATTCAGTAATGGTTGTTCTACCACATATTGTTGTCTTGAAATTAGCTGTTCCAATTACAAGATATAAGCATGCAAAATTGGTCAAGAGAAAAGAAAAAAAATTTAAGCATCAACTGTTCCTTTCAATAAACCAATAGACATCAGCAATACATTTATCTCAACTCTCCTTGTATATACTTATATATTTTTTCTTTAATTTTAAAGAGAAAATATCAAAAACTAACAAAAACAAAGGCATAAACAAAATAATATAAAAACAATAAAAATGTACAGAATTTCAAAACAGGGCAATAGGAAATCAACAATGGTTACATACCACTGTCCTCATAGTAGTTACTCAGACAACCAGACACAGGCATGCAAGGCTGATCAAACAATTACACATTAACTTTTCCTTTCAATAAACCAATAGAAACTAGTATTACAATTATCTTAGCTATCTTATATATATAAATATACCTATTTTTCCCTTCCTTCTTTCTCTTTTTTGTTCTGTTTTTCCAAATCCCAGTTGTTCTTTTCAATTTGAGCAGTTACTTTCCCTCTCACAGTGTCTATTGTACTTTTCAGATTTTATTTACTCTTTCAGGTTCTTGTACTAGGGAGGCAATATGATGTTTACACATGTGGATCTGATTTATTTCACTTATGAATATGATCTCAAGTTGCATCCATTTACCTACAAAAGCCTTGAGTTTATCTTGCTTTATAGCTGAGTAATACTCCATTTTATAAAAATACCACGTCTTTTTTATTCAGTCCTCAGTTGATGGATATTTGGGTTGTGTCCAAGACTAAGCTATTACAAATTGTGCTGCTATAAACATGGGTGCACGTATATCGCTGTGGTATGATGTTTTCAGTTCTTCTGGAAAAAGTACCCAGGAGAGTAATAGCTGGGTCAAATGGGACTGCTAATCTTAGTTTACTGAGGAAACTCCAGACTGATTTCCACAGTGGTTGCATCCGTCTACACTCCCACCAACAGTGGAGAAGTGTTTCTTTTCCCCACAGCCCCTCCAGCATTTGTTATTGGTTGATTTCTTTCTTTTTTTTTTTTGGTTTTTCTCTGGTACCGGGAACTGAACTCACGACCTTGCACTTGCCAGGCTGACGCTTTGCCGCTGAGCTAAATCCCCAGTGCCCTATTGGTTGATTTCTTGATGATAGCCATTCTTTCTGGGGTGAGATGGAATCACAGTGTTGTTTTAATTTGCATTTCTTGAATGACTAATGATGTTGAACATTTTTCATGTATTTATCTGCCATTTATATTTCTTTATCAGAGAAGTGTGTATTCATCTCAAATGCCCATTTTTGTATTGGGTTTTTGAGTTTTGGGGGCCTGATTTTTTTTTAATTCTTTATGTTCTAGACAAGAGTCCTTTGTCTGAGGGACAGTTGGCTAAAATTTTTTCACATTTTGTGGGCTTTCTTTTCACCCTGTTGGTGATTTCTTTTGACATGCAAAAACTTTTAAATAAGATGAGATCCCAGTTGTTGATTCTTTGAAATATTTCCTATGCAGTCCGGTTTTTGTTGATGAACTCTCTGCCTACCCCTATGTCTTCAAGACTTTCACCTACATTCTCTTCCAGTAGGTTTAGTATTTCTGTTTTAATGTTTAGATCTTTAAGCCATTTTGACTTTATTTTGGTGCATGGTGATAGGTATAGGTCTAGTTTTAGTCTTTGACCTGAGGAAAGCCAGTTTTTCCAGCACAATTTATTAAAGAGCCTATCTTTCTTCCAGTGAACATGTTTGGTCCCTTTGTCAAAGATAAGGTGGCTGAATGTGTTTGTGGTTCTAGCTGCCTCAGTGCAAACCTGATGAAAACACCTTTAGTATACTTCACAGATCTAGAGAAAATATTTCTAAAATTCATCTGGAACCAGAAGAGACCCAGAATAGGAAAAGCAATCCTGGGCAACAAAGGCAAGGCAGAAGGTATCACAGGTATCACAATCCCTGACTTGAAATTATACTAGAAAGCTACTGTGATAAAATCAGCATGGTATTGGCAAAAAAAAAAAAAAAAAAAAAAACAACCAACCAAACAAACAAAAAACCCAGATCTGAAGATCAATGGAACAGACTAGAAGATATTTATTATTTTTTAGGCAACACACAGGACATTTTTTTGTGCATCAACACATATATAATCTTAATAACATATGAACTAGGTATAGCATCATCTTTCACATTAACTGATGAAGAAATTAAAGTAAAGAGATCATTTACTTGCCCCAAATCACATAGGCTTTAAACACAGTACCACTGGGCCTTACACCAGAGTAATGTAAACTCAGCCATTTTAAATACTCTTTCCAATAAAAGTGGCAATACTACCTGTAGAAAAACTTGTTTTCAGAAATACAGCACCTTCAAAGCTAACGAAGGATCATCTTAAGCTTTCTTTTCTTTACTTTTTTGTGAATTCTAGGCATTGATCCCAGGGCTTTCACACTGATCTATATCTTAGCACCTCTCTCATTTTATTTTATTATTTTGAAACAAGGTCTGATAAGTTACTAAATTTCCCAGGATGGGCTTGAACTTTTGATCTTCCTCCCCTCAGCCTCCCAGAGTTCTAGGATTATAGGCATGTGCCACCACACTAGGTTCAAAGTTCCTTTTATGTTATTGTTTTACACAAATGTGGGGCAAATTGTAAGTGTCCTCTGTAGTCTGAGATAATACAAGTAGTGAGAAAGAATTTAGTATGGAGCCTTTTAGACAAGGTACTTTGATCAAGCTAAGAGAAAGTTGAAGTATTAGGGAGGGAAATGGAGAAAAGTTGAAGAAAAGTTAAAATAGCTCATAGTTAGATACAATTTTATAACATAAACCATGAGAAACTTGCATTAGACAGACTCCCTGGCCCCTTTTAAAGCATGGCCTTGTGAATTTTATTGGAACAAAAAGTTCCTTAACTTACTCTAGTCAGTAAATCTTTTACCCATGCCCCAAGTTCAAACTGTCTCCTAAAGCAAAAACTCCAAATTTGCAACTTCAGAGGTTGTACAGAGTGGGCTTGTGCAGTGTTTTAAAAACTCTATTTTAAAAATTCATTGTTTTCAGATGGGGCTTATCACAATTCCCACTCATCTGTCCTTATTATCTCTCTCCCAGCCTTATTTCATTGTTAATCTGTTTCAACCTACAGCGCAGATGAGCTTCCAACTCTTGCAAAGTAGAGGTCTATGAGAGGACGGATTGCAAACGGGTTGGCGGATCCTGGATTTCCACGCAGAAATTAGCAGAGAGTAGAGGTATGAACCTTCTAATTCTATTTCATATTCAACTGACCCCCTCTCTCTAGCCCGTTCTTTAAAGTCCCTTTCGGATATATTTTCTGTGTGGCATTCTGACAACCCCTAGATTTTCCTTCTAAGAAGCAAGATTGAATTGCTCAAAAAGCCAAGTAGGAGAACTGAACGATACAATTTCATCTTTGTCAAATGTGACATGCATTTTGTAAGTGAAAAATCTTGAGACATTCAGGATGACTAGGCATTGAAGGAATGAAGCAGGATATCTAGGATTTAGTTGTAAGCAGGCATGGGCTCTGTCTCTGCAAATGCACTTTAAAAAGGGTTGAGTACCTCTCAATTTGTAGAGCTTGAAGTTTTTAAGTGTGCTATTAGGGAAATACTCGATTTCCTATAATTTAGAACATACATGGTTTGAAAATTTGAAGGTACTCTAATATGATAATACTATAAATGATAATGTTTTAGCTATATTGACAAGCATTTTTGGCACTGAGGTTACTTGGCAAATATAGTGCTCATATTTGTGGCTTTGATTAACTTACTGAAACCAGAAAAGTACAGTAAAATGACTTACTCAAATGCTGGATTTGGGTGAGACATGGTGGTACCCTCTGATAGTCCAAGCTCTTGGCAGGCTGAAGCAGGAGGATCATAAATTCAAGTGTAGTGTGAACTACTTAGCAAGACACTGTCACAAACAAACAAACAACAACAAAAGCTAAGGAGGAGGGACCTAGATTTGTGGTGAGTTTTGCGGTGCACACTTCTAATCCCTGCTATTTGGGAGGTGAGGCAAGAAGATTCCAAGTTAAGGCTGGCCTGGGCAATTTAGTGAGACTGTCTCAAAATAAAAACAGCTGGGGATGTTGCCCAGTACTCTGTGGGTTCAATTCCTAATACTAAAGGAAAAAAAAATAGATTTAGTATTTGTGATAAAAATTGACAAAATGTATGATTTATATAGTTTAAAATATGGGTGCAGATAAGGTAACCACACATTTGCTGGGTAGAATCTTCCTTTTTCTGTAGAGATGGAGATAAGTAGGATTAGTCTAGTTTGTAGAAGGAGACATGGAAACTTGCTTTCTCTGAGAAGAGTCTGGCAGTGATCTGCATTTACAAATTTCTCCTTTTTTGCTGTTTCCTGGGAATCTGTCCTATTCTTTATATCATCCTCACTACTCTCTTATACTTGCTCTAAAATTTATATCACTAAAGAGGCTTTTAGCTATTTAATATATAAATCAAAATATTACTTTTAACAAGATATAAATGATATAAGTTTGTTCTAACTGCTGGAAACTTGCTAAACTGTGCTCTCAAAAACAAAATATTTGTTTATAATTTATGGAATAACTATAACAAGTCCTTGAGTTTAAAAAGTGCTTAATTGTTGGAAAAAAAGATGTCACCAAACACATCAAATATTATTCATTTGGAAGACTGTATCAGTTTTACACATAATTATAATTTTAGAATGTGTGCAATCATGCACTTATCATAATTAAGTAAATTAATACCGATTCCAATTCCTCATACACTAATGATGACTTCTAGGGCACATTATATCTTTCTCATTTTTATCCAAGACACTGCATAGAGGGTTGGTCTTTTACAAAATAAAGGTATTTTCACAAAAATGTATTTTCCCAATTTCAAGGATTCTTTTGAGTACTCAGGCAAGTATTTAGAGTTGTAAGCCCTTGAACTCCTATAAATCAAAGTAGTTAAATGATTGTTGTACATTTTGAAATTAAACTCCATCATTGAATGGGGACTAGTTTTATAGCAAAAATAACAATTTGATTGATTTTAAAAATAATGTTGTCTTTCAACTATACTTTTAGAATTATTTGAGCTGTACTGTCCAGTAGGATCTTCTACAATGATGGAAATACTTTCTAATCTGCACTGTCCAAGTACGATAGTCCCTTGCCCTGTGTGACAATTGACCATTTCAAATGTGGCTAGTTCAATCAAGGAACTGGATTTTTTTAGTATTAACTAATTTAAAGTTAAGTTTAAATAGCCACATGAGCTGCAAGATGCTGTATTGAATAGTACAGTTCTAGAGTGTTATTGATAAAGCCTTCTTGAGAATTTTAACTCATATATTTATACATATTCATTTATTATATCTATAAATATTTACTGGGTTCTTTATTTGTTCCAGGCACTGAGAAAATAATGGTCAGCAATGCTATCAGAGGCCCTACCTTCACAGAGTTTTCATAGTCTCATGGAATAGACACCAATCAAATAATCATATAGCTGGTGGGAATTAAAACTAAAGATTAGAGTTTATCCCATGTGGCTGACTTCTGTGAGGATAACCAGGCTTTACAACATCTTTAAAGTCTTCTGATGTCCCCCAAGGAAATGACCTGTGACCTGGGATCTGAAAAACATTTGGTCTTATGAAAGGAATGGATTTTGTCAGTTGACACTACAGAGATCAAACAGGGTTGGTAGAAAGAAAATTAGATAATTATCATACTGACAATATATATAAACAAAATCACTGTTTCTTTTTAGAAAGAAGAAGAATATCAGGAGCCTGGTGGCTTAGAAGCATTAAACCTGTCAAAACTGAAAGTAGAGCAGTTAATCACAGTATACCCAGGGAGTTTTCAAGTCATTTTGATTCTTATTATATAAAGCAGAGGCACCCTTAAGAGTTTCTTTTTCTGTCATTGAAATTAAGTATAGAAAACGCGTGCACGTGCACACACACACACACACACACACACACACACACACTCATGCATGCATACACATGCATTTAGGTGTAAAAGGCAAGAAAGTCAGGTGAATTGCATTTCCTTAAAAAAAATTTTACGATACTGGAAAAATGTATCTCTACTGAATACCACATAGGTTTAGCAAACAGACAAATTATATCTCTTGTAAATATACTATTTAAAACAGCACTGATCTCTTCCATTAAATATTTCCCAGTGCCCTAGGATGATTCTCTGAGAAATAGTCAAAATGAGGGTTCAGGAAACAAAACTATCAGAAAAGACAATAAATAAAAATTGGAGTCTAGTTTGCATGTAGAATTCTAATCTGTAGTTCATAATCAAATTTAACTGTGAATGATAATTATGTACTCTCAAATGAGAAGCCACTAAAGTATGGCAAGACAGAATTAAAGTAGCATGTGACACTCTCTGATTTTACCTGCTGTAACTTTAATTGGGGTTGGAATCAGGGTGGTATGGTCTCCTAAAAACATCTTGTTCCTAGTAAAGGATCCAGGGAGAATTTCTAAGAGACATTTTCTCATCCTCAAAACAGTGCAGAAGCATATGTAGCATTTCTACCAGAGCAGTATTTCATGAATCTGCCCAGTTTTATGGAATGCTGCCGAGTACATGAGCTCTGTCTTCCCCTCTTTCATTCTTTTCCTGATAAACCTGAGAGGATCTGAATTAAGTGACATATAGACGGTACACCAAATTACACTGCATTTACTTAACAGAAATCACTATATAACACACCTAAAGAACATTCTGGGTGTGTGTGCTATACTGAGTTTTGGAAATGTTTATCTTGCAGATATTGGCACCATGTCCTTCCCTGAGCCTATTTTAGGATCTCTATGAGTGATGAGAGTGATAGGATGCTACTCCACAATTCAAGACTGCAGATACTCCAGAGCCTCTGAACTTTATTGATTATACTGAATTCAGTTTTCTGTAAAACACATATAGATTGTTTTTATCAGGCTATGTGGGAAACTAGCTGTAAGGATAGAGGCCCAGCTGACCTTCCCTATAGACACAAAGAAGGGAACAGAAAGCTGCCCCCCTTTGAAGATGTGCTGCCATGCTGACATGTTGCAAGTTCCAGAGAAAAAGTCCACAATAGCTGAGAGCTAGTTTAGAGAAACACTTACCTGGGTACACTTCACAAATAATGAGAAGCAGACGAACTTTCCATCAACCTAATTCCTTGCTCCCTTGCCTAAATTGAATGAAAGTGAGGTGAGCCAGACACTCAGGGCTCTTTGTCCACTAGAGGCAAGAGCCCCCAGGCCCCCCTTTCAAAATTATCCCCGTGTCCTGTCTTTAATCTCCATTCACCCTTCCAGGTAGGCTTTTCTAGCAGACTGGTTTCCTGAAGGGCATATTCTCAGTCTGTCCTGGAATATGGCGTTTCTGCTAGAGGAATCCCTGGGTTGTTGTTATCCTATCCTTGTCTTTTCTAACCTAGAGTTTTTATTAAAGAATTCTTGCTGAGTAGGTTTATATCTGTGAAGGATGAAGCAGGGAGGAGAACTCGGTTCATTTCATTGTGGTCTCTAATGTCCTCTCTGCCTAACAGTCCGATAGACCCAAACCATTACACTATGCATTCTATACCCTTTTTCATAAAGTTTGCTATACAAATGAATTGTCTTGTAGAATATATTAAGGATTTATCATGTAAAAAATTTAAAATGTCTTAAAGCAGAGACAGCAGTATAATGAAGCTCCATGTACCTTCATCCCTCAGCTTCCATATGATTGACTCATGGCTGGTCTCCTTTCACCTACACCCGCACCTACTTACCCCTTTCTGTAGCATTTTGAAGCAAATTAATGAATAGTTTATATGTGAGTGGGAAGTTAATTGAAGAGGCTACCTTCCCCCAAAGCATTCTTTGATCTTTCTCTCTCCAGCAAGAAATAGCTGCTATTCTTGAGACACCACAGCATTTTATATGTGCTTTTCTTTTAGTGTGTACCAATCCTTGATCTTTTTATATATTTTTTTCTTTCTTACTGAATCCTAAGTTCCTTGATGGCAAGATTTATGAATCTTGCACCCAGAATTCAACAACTGTTTGTTGAATGAAAGAAAGAATATATAGAGATGGTTAGTAATGGCTAAAATCCAACTTTTGATCAAGATAGAACTACACCCAGCACTGGGAATCAAAGAAGCATGCATTGCTGTATTCTGTGGTTTGAGCTGGCTTCTGTGTATATATCTGAAGTAAAGATCTGGAG